ACAGTCAGATACAGTCAGACACAGTCAGACACAGTCAGACAGTCAGACAGTCAGACAGTCAGACCAACTCTCTTCACCTCCAGACTGAAACCACCAACAGCAGCACCGGGTTAAGACACAAAACTACAAAGAACCTGTACAGGTTCCTGACTGATCCTTTCACAATGTGTTCACAGATGCCTGGTGAACTGCTTCTGTGGAGGTATTAGCGCTCATCTCTGCCTCAGTAATAAAGTTAGAACACTGATGGTGGATTTTTCAGCTCCTTTGGTCCTTTACAGAGTTTGGGTCGGTCAGGAACTGCAGCTGAGACAATGTGAGACACTGGACTGAACAAATAAAGTGGACTGGACTCAGCAGGACTGTAGTGTAAACAGGATCCACAGAGAATGGACTGAAACAGGAAAAACAACAGCCTTTAAAGTCGCTGTAAAGGACCTTTAAGATATCAAAGAGTCTGTGTGTTTAACTGAACACACAGTGCGAGCTGATAAGCAAAGTGCTGAGTCCGACGTGTTCACAGTCGGGGGAGGAAACATGAAGCTGCAGAGAAATACTAAATGTTTGTGAGGGAGGACAGGAGGAGTGACGATACCCAGACAGACAGCAGAGAGGAGGCTCTAAAAATAACCAACATAAAGTCACCGACTGTTCGATAAGCTCAAACAAACTGATCAAACCCAACACACACAAGGTCCTAAAGAACAGCTGTCACAGTATACAACTCCGACGTTAGCTGTTGCTACTATGTAAATGTACTTATGTAGCGCCTTTCTAGTCTTTGGACCGCTCAATGCGCTGTACACTACCAACACACTCACACATTCACACACACTCATACAGTGAAGGCAGCGGCCGCCAACTGCTCACCAGAACAGAAACCAATCGTTCACACACACTCACCGATGCACAGCAGAGGGTTCAGTGACCTGCTGTACCTCTGAGCCACAGCCACCTATGGTAGCCGGCTAGCTAGCTATTGGTCAAGTCATTAGCCAAGCTAGCATAGCTTCTAATTTCTCACATCAATGTTACAAATGTCGAATATTGATGTGAGAAACTAGAAGCTATGCTAACTTGGCTAATGTTTAACAGACAGGGAACCTAGTTCTGGACATTTCAACCAAAAATAAATCGGTTTCCTCAGGAACCAAAGTGGGCATGTCATATTCTACAGGTGGTAGATACACATCATTGATCACAATGGTTCCACCAGTGGAGGAGGCGGAGCGGGTCGTCCACAGAAGGTTGGTGGTTCGATTCCCGGCTCCTCCTGCTGCACGTTGAAGATAGTGAACCACAAACTGCTCCTGGTGCTGCGTCGCTGTGTGACTGCAAGTTAACTGATGTAAAAAGTGCTTTGACTGGTGTAAAGACTAGAAAGGAACTGTACAGGTCCAGTCCATCCACCAATCAGATGGTTCCAAGAATCTTGAATGGAACTTTTCAGTTTCAGAACCGATTTATTTGCTGGAACCAGAACGGAGCCGGTTCCTGTTGATGGAAAGTGTGATGAAGCTGGTTCTCTGATGCGTTCACTGTCCGATTGTCAGTGTGATGCGTTCACTGTCTGTCTCAGCTGAGTTCTCTGCAGTGACTCTATGAATCATGTATGAGAACATTTGGTGGAACTGTTCAGATCTGCTGCAGATGGAAAACAATGAAATATTAACCTGTTGGGCTAAAAACCAACTGAGTCCCAGAATGTTTTCTCCTCATCCACCATCATCATCACCATCATC